AGAGCGATTAACAATAAACCCTTGTGGATGGAAGGAGTCACCTCGGCTGTAACGGGAAAACCAGCTCTCCTTGCTGGTGATGGTGACAAAGAATTAGCCGCCATGAGCCACTGCTCACACCACATCATGTAAAGCTGCTGCTGGAGAAACCCCAAGTATATTGGCTTTTGAAACGAACACATCTTATTACTTTTCAATATAAAGAGCCTAACTCTTCTTCGTTCAGAAATAATAATAAAAAAGAGGCTTTAAGTCAGAAGCCATTGGGACACCTCTTGTGATAGCCTTTCAGATTTTTATTCCATCACACTGAAGAAGACTGCTGCAGGTTTAGTCAAGAAAAAACTAAAAATTAGGCTTTTTGTTCATCAAACAAACAAAAGTGAAGTCCTTAGGGTTGGGGTCGGAGTGTAGCTGCCACTTGTTGTTGGTTTGGAGGCCTTCTCCACCACTTTTGTGATTGCATGCTTTATATTACACATACTATGCATTACAAAGCACTCCAAGATAGTCGTGGTATTTGGAGCTTAACTGCAGTCAGTCCACTCACTGTGTGCAGTCTCCATGGAAGCAGGTGCCCTATATTCCTGAGGGTATCAGCTGACAAGGTCACAGGGCTGATTGATGTTAGCCTCCAGAGTCCTTCTCTGTGTACAGGTTCAGCACCAATCTCCATTTCTGGGTTGCTAGAGAGGAGGAGCTCCCACGGGTACGAAAGGCTCCACGAACATCCCCTGCGGATTTCCTGATCTGTCTTTGCCATAAAGGTGGCAGTATGTATTGTTTTTATTCGTTTGTAACTCCGGGGCACGACATAAATCTGTCCCCTTTCCTACAAAACAACACAGAACTCTCCAAAAAGTTTAGCAAGCGGTAGTAATTGCATGTTAACGCTGTATTTCATCATGTCGGTTGCTGGCATTAGTGCGGTTTACCAGTGGTGGAGCTAAAAATGGTGCCAGCATGGGAACAATGCTGGTCCATGCTATTTCACTGCACGCTTCTACTCAAACACACAGCAGGGTTGCACATGTAAATATCACAAACAAAAAGTGTGCTTCTCATCGTCACTATCACTACAAATTACACTCATAAACAGAAAGCATATAGAAACACAAAGGCAACGTGGAACAATTATTATGCTAAGTCGTCCTCGCTTTGCTCATCCCCAAGTAATGTTGGAGAGGGAATAAAACCAGACCATGTCTGCACCATGGATTCATGGAGAGATCTTTTGCGTTGTAAAAAAAAAAAAAAAAGCCACTGTTCCATCTCTTCATATGAAAGCAACAATGTTTTTCCTGCCGAGGGATGCTCAGTCTCAAACCCCATTTGAAGGAGATTTTAATCCGAAACATGAGAGGAGCCGAGAAATAGATTTTACAGCTGGCTCTCACATTTGTTTGAGCAACAACTAGAATATTTACTTAAATTCTGTCTTGTTGCAGTTTTTACTCTTATTTTAAAAAGCCAACTCAGACAAGCGTACAGCACAGATACATGTATACTGTAAATTTTATATAATGATGTATAAAGACATAAATAATGCATGAACCAATATAGAAGATGAGGGACATGCAGTATAAACTGTCAGAACCACACCAATCAAACAGTCACTCCTGGGACACGAAGGGAAATTACACAGTTGTTGTCTGTCAGCTGTATGACTTAACTAGCTTTTCAGAGATTTTTGCTCATTGTAATTACCAGCTTCAACAGATGAGCTGAGAGTAATCGGATACATGATGGTGCCAATGATGTTGATAAGGTTTCTAATCAATAAATAAAAATCCATTGTTTCTGTCTAAGTCCAGCTGACTCCTAGAAGTCAAATGTAGAAAGAATCCTGGATAAATTACTAATCATGTCACTAAGATATGATTATTATTCTGAGGAATGATCTGTTTATGGTTCACTTTTTTTGAAAGATATTAAATGTTTATATGTTGAGTTTTCATATGAAAGTTGTGCTTGAAGAGAAAATGTTCGACCTGTACATGTTTTTGTAAACTTCTCCATTTGGATTTCTGTCTGCAAACTCTATTTCTCTTTCAGACTTGTGAGAGGGCTGTGACCTTTTACAGACTCTGGACAGTTTCACTATGTGGCCTATTTCTGTGAATAGTTTTTTGGATAAAGGGGAGGATGGGACCTCTGACCAATCAGCACCTTGGAAACTGTGCCACTGTGCATGACTGTGGTGTTCAGTAATCCATGTCAGAGTGGACAACTCATTGGGGAACTGCAGAGGGGCCCCTGACCCTCATTTACCGTTATTATTCCATCCATCCATCCATCCATCCATCCATCCATCCATCCATCCATTTTCTTCCACCTATCAGGGATTAAGTCCCGGTGGCTACAGATTAGACAGGTCATTCCAGATGTCCCTCTCTCCAGGAATGCTTTCCAGTTTCTCCTAAGGGATCCCAAGGAGTTCAGGCCAGATGAGATACGCATTCCTTCCAGTGAGCTTTAGGTCTACCCAGTTGGACATGTCCCAGAGAAATACCAAAGGATGGTTTACCAGAGACCCACTAATCAGGGGCCTGAACCACCTCAACTGCCTTCGTCTGATGTAAAGGAGCAGCGACTCCACTCCAAGTTCCTTCCAGATGTCCAAATTCTTGACCCTATCTCTAAGGTTGAACCCGACCACCCTATGAAGGAAATCCGTTTTGGCTGCTTGCATCCACGATGTCATTCTTTGGTCACTACCCAAAGCGTCCTGAGAAGAGGTTTGGAATGTTGACCGACTGGTAAACTAAGGGATTCTTCACCACGTTGGTCAAGTACAACGCCTACGTTCCTGTTACCGGCCGTCTGTCCATCTCATGCTCCATTTTCCTGTCACTCACGAACAACATCTCATGAATTTCCTCTCTTCAGGCAGCAACTCATCGCCAATCTATAGGGAGCAATAAGCCTGTTTCTGGCAAAGAACCAGGCGTCAGACCTGGAGGTGCTGACTCTCACATCCCACCTGCTTTTCACGAAGTTGCGAACCACCCGGGTACATATTAAAGAGCAAAGTTTGATTTAGCCAACAGAACCACGGCATTCGCAAAAAGCGGAGAAACAACTCCGAAGGTCCCAAATCAGACCACCTTGTCACCCCAGCGGCACGTGAAGATCCCATCCATGGATATCTCAAACAGGATCGTAGACGAGACTCTGGTCGACTTCAACACCCACCAGAAATGTGTTTTACTTCGCACCGAGAACACAAGCGCAGCTCTCACTTCAAAGGACTGGATGGCTCCTAAGATTGGCCCCGGTACCCCTCACTCCGGCACTACCCCCCAAACAGTCCCTCAAGGAAGTCCTGGGTCTTCTACAAGTCCATGAAACACATAACACATTAATTCTCCATGAATCCCAAATAAACATACCTTTTTGTGCCTGATCAACAGTAAAGAAAAAACAAAACAAAACTGTAGTTTACGAGTGTAGACAACTAGTAAAATGGTCTTAGGGAGTTTATGACATGTTTTCCACCCTATACTATACCTTTTGACTGTTAATCAGCTGTCAAAAAAATGCTACTGATTGGATTTTCTTTCAATTAATTAGCCAACAAATCATTTCAGCTGCAAAGTAGTAGCAGGGGAAATATGGAAGCTGACATTTATTGCAAGGGTGAGTAGGGGCCCCACAGCAAATTATCGCCCTGAGGTTAATGCGGCGATGTGACAAACCTACGAGTTTACAAGTACCAAGACGAACAAACCACCATTGTAAGTGGAGGCATTATTTTGTTATTAAAATCTAATTGTGCTAATTTAATTAAAATTCCAGTTCTAAATTGAGTTCCATTTTGTAGTAATAATCGCTCCCTTGACACGGAGAGTCGACTTGTAGTCCACCACCCCGGAAATCCTGTAAAACGCTGCCGCTCTCGTAGACGCGCTGACTGTTGGAGCAGGTGCATCCTTCCTTTGGTGTGAACTGCACAGATTTACCACCAGTGTTTTTGCTGGTATATCAAAGGACAGATTTGCATGTTCTGCAAATGTCACCGTTGCTTTTAGTTTCGAGTGTGAGCCCGCAGCACTGCAGATGGTCAGGTTATTCAAGGTCAGGAAGGAGGACAGATAACATCCATGGGAAAGTACAATTGGAGACGTGCTTCCTTGTCTGTGAGAAAATATGCTTGTCTATTGTTTGATTAAAACTACGGCCTGATGGTTCCCTGCATCAATTAAGAGTTAATGAGATATCATCATGAATTATACGATGTGAAAAATATTCACTGTTAATTATGATTTCATGAAAGTGAATATCATCGAGCTGAACCAGTTTTTGTGACTTTAACATTGATAATTCTTTCCAAAGGGAAATATATATAAATTTATTCTCAAAGAAGCAAAATAATTTTTTTTTTTTTTCTTTAGCTGATATTAAAATCTTTAACAGCGATGTCTGTGTCTACTCCGGGGTTGCCAGCAGTCTGTTTTTGATGAGATGTATTATCTTACACACGAGGTATCTGATAGAACTACTTCATCTAATTTTTAATTATGTGTCAATTTAGTGCAGCTACAGGATCTAGACCTCAAATGCAGACTCTGGGCAGCGTGCTAATTATTTGTGGAAACTAACTGTGAAGGAAATTGATTTCATCATAAAAGATAACAAAAGTCTTGGCTCTGACAGTTGATTTAGTAGGACTTGACAATGAAACCGAGCCAAGGCAGTTTTTCAACGTACTAAATCAATATCTATCAGCAATGTGAAATTAAATCGAGATTAAATCTCTGTTTCATCTCCAGGTCAGATGCTTGCTGAATTTCCATCTAATCACAAAACCCTAAAACAGAAGACGGGGAAATTTCTTATTTGATTTTAAATCTAAAAATGAAAATGAACATTAACGCCGCAAAGAAATACAACACACAGCACTGTTCCAGCACTGATCTCGTTTGACACCCTTGGGCATTTGTTGCAGCTTAATACAGTCACTGACAGGGCTGGTGGCAGCAGCAGCTGCAGCTTCTTACCTTGAACGATGAGATGTACCTTTGTGGATTTTGGTTTCTTGTTTGTGAGGATGGAGCAGACATATGGCCCCTCGTCGTGGACGTCAACATTTTGGATCTTGATGCTGTACTCTGTGACTGCTGTGTTTTCCATCAGGATGACGCGAGGGTCCAGAGACCACTTCTCACTCCCTGCAAATAGAATGGTGGTGCGATTGAGCCATGCCACTCGTGAGACTTTGCCGTCCACACTGCATCTAAAAGAAAGATATAAAAAAAAGAAAAGAGATTTTAACAGTATGTTCAAGAACCATGAAATATCAAACAAAAACACTGCTCAAAGAACATTTGAAGGGTGCTGTGAGAGGTCGAATGCTCTCTCGAAGGTCCAGTTTTGATGTGAGTAAAATGAAAGTTTACTATAAAAATACCAACTAAGAGTTTTTAGCACAATTACAATGTACAAGGTTAAAGATGCAAAGATGTAGGATTTGCTGAACGTTCTGTCCTGAAGTGCACTGGTCATTCTTTGGTATATGTTTCATTTAATAAACATCATTTTGCCTTTAGGGCTGCAAAGTGGCTCAGTGGTTAGAACTGTTGCCTCGCAGCTAGAAGGTAGCATGTTCTCCCCGTGCATGTTGAGGTTAACTGGTGATCCTAAATTGTTCGTAGGTGTGCATGTGAGTGTGCTTCGTTGTCTGTCTCTAAGTGTAGCCCTGTGATAGACTGGTGACCTGTCCAGGTGAACCTGCCTTCGCCCTAAGTCAGCTGGGATAGTCTCCAGCCCCCCGCGACCCTAGTGAGGATTAAGCGGTGTATAGATGATAGATGTATGTTTACTCTGTCTTATCTTGTGCACTGCCGCTACACTTCTCCTACAATGACACTTAAAATCTTCGACCAGTCGCCACATTAATCCCAAACCACAGTCCCGTTTGTGGTTATTGCAGCCTGATTGTTACACAAAGTGCACAATGCTTCAGTTTAAGAGGACAAATGAGGCATCTTCTGTGTTTTTTTATCAGAAGTGTTTTTGATTCTGGACAAATGAAGATTTTTAGAGAATCCATCAGTTTTTGGATTTCATGGCACCTTTTTCCTTTTCAAGCAGCTTTGACCACAGCAGCTGAAGGCTGGTGTTTTCTAAGAGAGTTTATGAGATCCTCTAGTTTCACAAGCTTAAAATTTGTTCTGAAAAACTACTTGTGTGTTTGTAGCAGCTGGGTCCAGGCAGCTGAGGTAACTTTATGAGATTTATCATCATTCCTGACTTCTATTGGGATGCTAACTGGATGTACTATGTCTTGACCGCTGTGCTGTTCAGAGTGGATGTTATCGGATATTTGCCCTGAATACATTCCAATGCTGAGTTTCTACGTTAAATGGTTTGACTGATGAATGGCACAAAAACTAGTTGCTCTTATCAGCAGCCTCAGGATCAGATTTACCTACAGAGCCGCCGTCAACAAAACTCTCTCATATCTAAACCTGTAGCCATCACGTAAATGTGATTATAAACCAAACGGACACATGTCTGTATTACTGTGTCTGAGTTAAGGCCTTTGTCACCATGAGGTCAGCATCATCCTTTATTATTGGGTTCATACAGTCATGACTCGATAATCCGACACTAAATGTAAAACCTTCTTTTATGTTGGATAGCAAGGCTGTCGGATTGTCAAGATGGAGGTCAAGATACAAGGAGGGCTTGATGCTTGTTGTTAATATTTATTGTTTATAGTTGTTATAATAACTAGTAGGGCTGGTCCCAATAAAACCTTCTAGGCTCAGTTAATGATGAATATCAGAATATTTGGCGTGGTTGGGGTGGACCACCCTGGGGACGTGCTCCAGCGGGGTGAAAGTGGCTGGAATGCACAGGCAGTACTTGGCTGCTGATGCCAGTTCAGATAGCGGTCAGACTGTTTTTACAGTGTGACTGGTGCCGCCGCCGCCGCCGCCGCCGCCGCCACTATCCATGTATACTTCCGTAAACACTGAGGGCGCTCGCTGCCTGTGACGTCATCGTGTCCTCTTCTGCACATGTGGGACACTTTTGGGTCGTATGAAGTTCACACAGCAGATCACATACAAGTCACATTTAACTGGAAATGTGAACGAACTCACAAAAAAATCAGATTTCACCAAAAAATCT